TGGTAGACGTTTTCCCCGGTCGCAGAAACGCACGCGATGTAAATAATAATTTTTTAAAAAGTCTGACACACCCCCCCCCCAGCATCCAGCAGAGCTCTGGGCCGCACTTTGGGGGTCGTGGCCGCCAAACCCGCACCCCTTGCGTCCCGCCCCGGCTCACGCGCCGCGGGCCCAGGTCCAGACCCCAGGAAGGCGCCGCACCCGACCCCCGGGGGTGCCTGGAGCCACAGCCAACACACACGGAGCCGGAGACCAGGGTGGGAAGAGCCCAACACCCATGCCCGCACCCCGCGTGGCAGCGCTGGTTCGGGCCCCCGCTGCTCCACTTCCGGTCCCGCTCCCTGCCCAGGTGCTGGGACCCCTGCACCCACATGGGAGCCCCAGTTCCGGCCTTGGTGCCCATTTAGGGAGTGACCCAGAGGATGGAAGGTCTCTCTCTCTCTCTCTCCCTCTCTCTGTCATTGTGCATTTCAAATAATCTCTTTTTTAAAAAAAAGCCCATTATCTTTTAATTCCGTTTTCCACATCAAAATCAGGGTGACATAAAGGGAGAGAATCCTCCATCCGCAGGTTCACTCCCCAGATGCCCACAACAGCCAGGACTCCGGGTTTCCCCTGGGGGTGGTAGGGCCCTGTGCTGAAGCTCTGCCTCTGAGGTGTACATTGGCAGGAAGCTGGATCGGAAGTGGAACAGCCGGGACTCGAACCTGCGTCCACATGGGATGCTGGCGCTGCAGGCCGAGGCTTAGCCTACTATGCCACAGCGCCAAGGCTCCCTACCCCTACCCCCACCCCCACCCCACCAGGCTTCCAGATGGAGCTCCTGGCTCCTGGCTTCTGCCTGGCCCAGCCCTGACAGTTGCAGTCATTTGGGGGGTGAACCAGCAGGTAGAAGATCAATCTCCTCTCTTTCTCCTTTAACTCTTTCAAAAAAAAAAAAAAAAGTCTGAGGTCCCACATTTCTCTCCAGAAAAGAAAGGGGAAGATGGAGTCTGGCTGGAGAGGGAGGGGGTAGGGAGAGGAGGAGACAGGGGAGGGGGGAGAGAGGATGGGAGCAGTCGTGAACACCAGTGAATGCGGAAATCGAGAACGTGCCCCACGAACACGTGACAAGACCTCGCGGTCTTTAGGAAAACGCAAGTCAGAACCACAGTGAGATACCAGCCACACCCACCAGGATGACCACCATCGAAAGAGGAACAGGGCGTGGGTGCTGTGGCGCTGTGGGTAAAGCCGCTGCTTGTGACACACGCGGCCCATCGGGGAGTGCTGGCTCAGGTCCCAGTGCTCCACTCCCCATGCAGCTCCTGGCTGATGCACCTGGGAAAGCAGTGGAAGATGGCCCAAGTGCTTGGGCCCCTGCACCTGCGTGGGAGACCCGGAGGAAGCTCCTGGCTCCTGGCTTCAGCCTGGCTCAGCCCTAGCTGTTGTGGCCATCTGGGGAGTGAACCAGCAGATGGAAAACTTCTCTCTAACTCTGTAATTCTTCCTCTCTATAACTCTGCCTTTCAAAGAAAGAAATAAATCTTTAAAATAAATAAAAAGAAAAAACTCCCAGAAAGCTTCACACATGCTAAGACCCTACCCATTAGTTGATTCGATTAAGGCACCGCCCTGTGCCCCATCAAAGGAACTGACACTGGAAGAGTGGCCGTCTTTTGCCCTTGATCACGTGTGGGGCCTTGTCGGGCCTCCTCTCTGTCTCTCTCCCCATAGGCGGCTCTCTGGCCCACTTGTGGTAGTTGTCTCTGTGTGGGGTGGCCCACGCACACCTGTGCATGTATGTCCACTCTCTCTTAAATAAATCCTGCTCTCACTTGTCCACTGTACATGGATGCCGCTGCTCTGAATTCTTATCTCTGTGGGCAAGAACCTGGAACTGGAGCCAGTGCTGTGGCCGAGCAGGTGAAGCTGCTGCCTACCGTGCTGACATCCATATGGACGCCAATTCGAGCCCCAGCCGCTCCACTTCCAATCCGGCTCCCTGCTTAAAGGCTTGAGAAAGGAGCAGAAGATGGCCTAAGTCCTTGGGCCCCTGCACCCACGTGGGAGACCTGGAAGAAGCTCCTGGCTCCTGGCTTCAGCCTGGCTCAGCCCTGGCTGTTGTGGCCATCTGGGGAGTGAACCAGCAGAAGGAAGGCCTCTCTCTGTTTCTCCCTTGTTCTGTCCGTAACTCTGATTTTCAAATCAAATAAAGCTCAAAATTAAAAAAAAAAAAGGACCTGGAATAAAGATGATAAAGATGAAGATTCCCAGGCCGCCTCCTGGATGGGGCACAGAGCTGGGGTTGGCACCCAGGACTCCCCAAGTGGCTGTGACTGCAAAGGCCCACCTCTTCCTGTTGCCCTCACCTGGGCCTCCAAGTGCCTGCTTAAGACTCACCTTAAACAGAGGGACCGGGCTGGTTATTCTTGCTGAAATACAATGCTTTTTGTTTGCCTTGAAGGGAACCTATGGCCATGAACATAAGCTGTCCAGAAAACAGCCCCAACATGGCCTGGGGCCTGGGGGACCTGGGGGGCCTGGGCAGGCCTCCCCAAAGGCGGTCACTTGTAAGCTGAACAGAGTTAGTCTCAGA